GAGCAATTATACATAAATGTAATTAATTCATATATGCCACTTACAAATAGAAAGAGCAATTATACATATATGTAACATGGGAAATGATTTTTGTACAACTTTTTTGTGTCACTTTTTTGTATAACCTGACATGTTATTAAAATGATTGATTCTTTTAATTCATATGGAACTTGTGATATTGAATGCATTCACTCATTTAATGACATATATAAGTTGTATAAAAAGATAAAACAAAAAAATTATCCCTATAGCACCACCCATATAACATACACTTCCTGTTCTTTGAAAATACATGTTTTGAGTCTTTTGACATTTTTTGTTTATTCAAAACATCAATTCTTCTTAATTCTTTATTCAATTATTTATACGATCATTACTAGAAAAAGTTTTATTTTAAATAAATTATTTTAGATAAAAAAATATTTTGACAAAAAAAAATTTTAATTCGATCAAGTATTTTGACCAAAATAAGCTTTAGTCCAATTAAAAGGTATTTAATGTAATATATTGACACAAATGACCTGTTGGTTTGAGTGGAAAGAACTCGGTTCCTTTTAAATAAGGTCTTAAGTTTGAGTTTTCTGAATGGAGAAACAGGCACTGAAGAAACAAGCGTTGGGAGAGTTTTCCATTAATGAGATCCGACGCGACTTGATTCCAGATTAGTCGAAACTCAATATGATTATCGGATACCGAGAGGTTAATATATATATAAAAATAATAATATATTGATTAAAATAAAAAAGCACCAATTGACGTCGTCATTAATTCAGTTAAATATTTTTTTTGAATTATATTAATAATAAAATAATAAGCATTTCGTTTATAAATTTTGACTAAATTAATTAAGTAATTTAAATTTTAATTTAATTATGTTTTCCGATAAAAAATTTTGACCAAAATAATTATATCTCTTTTTTTTAATATTATTAGTATAACACTTTCTTTCTTAAATTTTTTTAATTTTTTATTAAACTATTTTGGTCAAGCATTTTGACCAAAATAACTATTTCCTCTTTTTTTTTTTTAAATTGTATTAGTATGATACTTGTTTTCCTTTTTCTTTTTTATTTTTTATGAAACTATTTCGGTCAAGTATCTTAACCAAAATAACTATTTCCTTTTTTTTAATCATATTAGCATGGCACTTTCTTTCTTAATTTTTTTTTTAATTTTTCTATGAAACTATCTCAAACAAAATACTTGATCGAAATTATATTGTTTGGCTCAAATAATTAAGTAAAATTTCTTGAATTTTTCACCAAAATTATTTTGGTCAAAATTCTTATTCAAAATTAGATGTTTTGACTCCACAAATCAAGTGAAAACAATTTGAAATTTCCACCAAAACTATTTCGGTCAAAATTATTGTCTGAAATTAGATTTTTTTGGGAGGCTTTAAAATCATGTGAAATGTCTTGAATTTTCTACCAAAACTATTTCGATCAAAATTCTTGACCGAAATAGTCTAAACTCTATAAAAATGCTTCAGGCACTTTAAACTATATTTTACCCATTTCCTTCTTCCTTCTTCCTTCTTCCTTCTTTTTGCTTTTCCCTTCATTTCGCCTTCCACACTCATCTTTCTCACCTTCCTCTTCCTTTTAATTACATCCCCTCCTCATTTCTCTTTACTTCCATCATTTTCTTTCATTTCTTCCTTTTTCTCATCTTCTGTTTTCTTCACTTTCCCTTTTCTTTCATTCATTCCCCCATCCTCTCTTCCATTTTCTCACATTCTCTTTTTCTCATACGTTCCTTCCTTTAATTTTTCTCATTTTCTTTGTTTCTTTAATTTTAATCTAACTAGTTTATTTTTTTTACAATTTACAAGTTTGTTTCAATTAATGTTGATATTAATTTTATTTTTTGCAAGATTTTATAATAGAAACTAGAGGCATTTTAAGGAGGCATCTTATTTGGTACTTTTATTTTTTTTTATTTGTTATATTTCATTAAAATTTTATAATTTTTTCTTTTTCATTAAGTTTCCCATTTAGTTTGTAATTTGTGATTAACTACTTCTTGGTGTTAAGGGATGGAGAAACTAAAAAAAGAAAAAAGTTAGTAATGAACTCTCCACCATTTAGTTTAAATTTAAATATTTTTATACAATTTTGATTTTTTTTGTTGTATAATATTCAATTTAAAATTTTGATATATTTGAATTTGGATAAAATAAATAGATTTTTAAATATTAATTAAATATATTTTGTAATGATATAAAAAAAGCAATTATATGTATACTATAATTACACAAATATATATTTTTTAATTTGAAAATAATATCTCAATCAAATATTTTGACCAAATTAGTCTAAAATAGAAGATTTCCTGATAACATTTTCTATCAAATATTTTGACCAAATTAGTGTAAAATAAAGGATTTCATAATAACATTTTTGGTCAAATTTTTTGATTGAAATTGTCCAACATTTTTTATTAGGATGAAATTTTGTTTCAATTATTATTTCATACAGTAGATATTCAAATCAACAATTTGATCAAATAATTTAACCAAATTATTTCTTGTTTGATCAAAATTCCAACTTATTCAGTTAAGATGCTTGACCAAATAAGTCCCTATTTCTAATAGTGGTTACATTTTGGTCAAGTAGTTATAAATTATTGTATTATTTTGCCACTAATTAATATAAATTTATATCTCTATATTTATCTATTTATCTATATTTATCTATAATAAAATACACTAACTATGTTAAATAAGGTCAAATATTTGACAACATATATAGTAGAAAGGGATGGTATGAGTTATAATTAAAGTTTATTATTTTTTTTTAAAAAATAAATCTCTATTAATTCATATTGTATGTTACATTACATCAAATTTTAAACTTTAGTAATCTAGATGAGATAGAAAGCCAAAAGGCAAAGGAAGTGAGAATCTAATCATTCTCATGAAAATGCAATAAAATATGAAAACACAAAAGGTATAGAGTATTTGGAAAGCTCTAATTAGGATTTTTTGATAAATCAATGAAAAAACATAACCATAATTGCAATTATTATAAATCTTAATTAAAAAGAAAAGTTATACTTCATTTTAAACAAGAGAAAAAAAATACAAATTGTAACCGTGTAACCTAACTAATCAATGAAATTAAATTTGATGGTAGAAAAAAAAAAGACAGGATTGTGGAAAGGAATGGTATGGGTTATATTGGTATTTTAAAAATAAATTTCAATTAATTCATACTATATGTTACATTACAATATATTTTAGATTTTAGTAAATTTAGTGATAGAAAGGTGAAGGGTGGTGAAAGTGAGAAATCTAATTATTATTATGAAAAAAGAAGTACAAAAACATAAAAAGGTATAGAATATTTAGAAAACTTTAGTTTGGATTTATTGAGAAATTAATAAAAATATATAACCAAAAATTACAATTATAATACCATAATTGAAAGTGAGACATTGATATAAATATTCTTTGGTTTAACGTACTTCACAGTACAATTATTAAGAGATTATTATTTTTGAATTTGAATTAAAGGCAAGAAAACTTAAAACTGTAGATTTTAATCTACAGTCTACAGTAAATTATTTTTTAATGACTAAACTAATAAGTATAATAGATTTGTTGAATTAAAATGTGTATCAATCACTTTTTTTTTAAATGAAAAGCCACCATATTACTAATAAAAACCATATGTACAAAAAAAATCATAATACATACAAATAGTAATTATAGTATTTTTTTAACAGTAGTGATAAATGAAAAGAATTTTAAAAATAATTTATAATAAAGGATTCACCATGAAATTACTCACCAATTTAATGAATGAATTCATTGATTGTGAGAAACCACTTGAAAAAAAAGAAAGAATCCTTTGTGATATTTGTTATTTTTATCATCTAATGTATCTTTTTCATTTTTTTTGAATCTTAATATAATTTTTAATGATATCTAAATACATTTTTGATTTACCCACATAATTTTTAGTCATTTTAAATCTTAATATAATAAATTATAATATAAGACTTTTAATCTATTAAATTTAT